TTATCTAATGTTGAGATATAGACGTTTATTTTTTGATATATTGTTTCTTACTTGCTATTAAGATATGGTTGGGTGCTTTGTTGCTTCATTTTTACGGGCATACGGGTGTGCCCGCGGGCATGTGATATCCGCGGATAGCGGGCACGGGCATGGCTTTCTACCCGTGACGGTTAACGGGCGCGGGCGTGGGCACGGATTTTTGCTCGCGGGTATGGATATCTAGGGCTAGTATCCGCGCGGATTTTACCCGTTGCCATCTTTAGTCAGGACAATGGTAAGGCAAAATTTTGTCGCACTAAAACGGTGTTCATTCTTTAGTTTTTTAAGTTGCGATTATTGCATATCTGCGGTTCCATGCTACCTTGCTCAAAATTCAGATTAAGAACAGCTCGAAAGCTCTTAGCACAAGATAAAAAGAGCTCTTGGATGTCGTTTCTTCCTTATAAGCATTGCCGCACTTCTCGGGTTTCTGAAACTCTGCCTTGGTTTGCTCCGGCGGATTTGCCTTGATCGGATCTGATTGCTATGATGCTATCTGGGCATTATGCTTTTACATTTATTTTTTTTGAGAGAGGAGGGCCTTCTGCTTTATGGACCAAAGTGGTCTAGGAACTTCAATCAATTGGGCACTTGGGCTACATTTTGTATGGGGCCATGGGCCGTTTGGCCAAGCAACCGGTACAATTTAACGCAGAAGCTTCGATCATCATAATGGAAATATTTTGTTTTTCAAAACGGCATAGCGAACATATTCAGAACATATGTTTTTTTGCGAGGAATCGGACCATCACCGTTTCTCTACCTCCTCCGACTTCCATGCGAATAAGTCAATGATCCTATCGTCTTCTGCTCCAAGCGAACATGGCGTGAAGACATGGAGTTGTTCGGCCGATGGTTTCTGCGGCCGATAAATCGACTGAAACTGATCTATTGTGGGAGAAAAACCCTGTTCTATGTCTGATAAGTCAGGCTGATAAGTTCAAGCCAATGGGGCGCAGGTAGGGATGAAAACGGATCGGATACGAACGGATATCACTCATATTATATTTGTTTTCATATTTCTGTTCGGATTCGGATTCAGACACGGATAGCGTTCGGATACATATACGAATACGGATTGACTCGGTTACGGATACGAATAATGAGTATCGAATACGGTATGAATCGGATTCGGAGAAGGTCAGATACAAATATCTATTCGGATATTGAGTAAAAGCAGCATATGTATATATATATATATCATACGTGCGCAAACCATTACACCACTCTATGAGTCCATAATCCATCTAGATTAAGCCGAAAGACTAAAGAGTAAAGCAACAAATAAGATAAAGATACAGATACATCATACATCAAACATCATACAAGCACCAATCTTCGCGGCATGAGTAGAAATAGCCAAGCTAATGGCTTCATGGTCTCATAGAGTCATTGTCATGGATTCAAGATCTACAATCCTTATATAGGCCATTTTTTCATTTCAGAAAGTTTGAACAAAATGTAGTTCAAATTTCACAAGTGTGAGACATAGTTTCAGAAAGTCTGTATGAGATTTAAGAATTTGTGACTAGTGTTTGATAAAAATTCCTCAAATGGGAAAATGAGCTATGTAACAATTGTAGATATTGCTGAGATGATCAAACTTGGTATTAAGAGTTTTTTCATCTGAGGTCATTTAGTGTCTCATTTGAGCAAGTTTGACCAAGTCAAATTTGGTCAAATGAAAAAACAACACTTTGACTCTAGTATTATGAACTCTAAATGACTTCAAATTGAAAAGTTTTGAATACCAAGTTTGTTCAACTCATCAATATCTACAATTCTTGTTTTGGTCAACTTTCCGTTTGAGATAGTTTGGATGGTTCAAATTTGTGATTTTTAAATTTCGATGCTTACAAACTAGTTTTCGGAACCCTAGATTGTCTCAAATTGAAAAGTTTTGAATACCAAGTTTGTTCAGCTCATCAAGATCTACAATCCTTATATAGGCTATATTTTCATTTGAGAAAGTTTGAACAAAATGTAGTTCAAATTTCACAAGTGTGTGACATAGTTTCAAAAAGTCTATATGAGATTCAAGAATTTGTGACTAGTGTTTGATAAAATTTTCTCAAATGGGAAAATGAGCTATGTAACAATTGTAGATCTTGCTGAGATGATCAAACTTGATATTAAGAGTTTTTTCATCTGAGGTCATTTAGTGTCTCATTTGAGCAAGTTTGACCAAGTCAAATTTGGTCAAATGAAAAACAACACTTTGACTCTAGTATTATAAACTCTAAATAACTTCAAATTGAAAAGTTTTGAATACCAAGTTTGTTCAACTCATCAAGATCTACAATTCTTGTTTTGGTCAACTTTCCATTTGAGATAGTTTGGATGGTTCAAATTTGTGATTTTTAATTTTCGATGCTTACAAACTAGTTTTCGGAACCCTAGATTGTCTCAAATTGAAAAGTTTTGAATACCAAATTTGTTCAGCTCATCAAGATCTACAATCCTTATATAGGCTATATTTTCATTTGAGAAAGTTTGAACAAAATATAGTTCAAATTTCACAAGTGTGTGACATAGTTTCAGAAAGTCTATATGAGATTCAAGAATTTGTGACTAGTGTTTGATAAAACTTTCTCAAATGGGAAAATGAGTTATGTAACAATTGTATATCTTGCTGAGATGATCAAACTTGGTATTCAGAGTTTTTTCATCTGAGGTCATTTAGTGTCTCATTTGAGCAAGTTTGACCAAGTCAAACTTGGTCAAATGAAAAAACAACACTTTGACTCTAGCATTATGAACTCTAAATGACTTCAAATTGAAAAGTTTTGAATACCACATTTGTTCAACTCATCAAGATCTACAATTGTTGTTTTGGTCAACTTTCCATTTGAGATAGTTTGGATGGTTCAAATTTATGATTTTTAAATTTCGACGTTTACAAACTAGTTTTCGGAACCCTAGATTGTCTCAAATTGAAAAGTTTTGAATACCAAATTTGTTCAGCTCATCAAGATCTACAATCCTTATATAGGCTATTTTTTCATTTGAGAAAGTTTGAACAAAATGTAGTTTAAATTTCACAAGTGTGTGACATAGTTTCAGAAAGTCTATATGTGATTCAAGAATTTGTGACTAGTGTTTGATAAAACTTTCTCAAATGGGAAAATGAGCTATGTAACAATTGTAGATCTTGCTGAGATGATCAAACTTGGTATTCAGAGTTTTTTCATCTGAGGTCATTTAGTGTCTCATTTGAGCAAGTTTGACCAAGTCAAATTTGGTCAAATGAAAAAACAACACTTTAACTATAGTATTATGAACTCTAAATGACTTCAAATTGAAAAGTTTTGAATACCAAGTTTGTTCAACTCATCAAGATCTACAATTGTTGTTTTGGTCAACTTTCCATTTGAGATAGTTTGGATGGTTCAAATTTGTGATTTTTAAATTTTGATACCTATAAACTAGTTTTCCATTTGAGAAAGTTTGGACGGTTTAAATTTTGAAGCACTAAATGATTTCAAACGAAAAAGTTGTAAACAACAAAGTTTGATAACTTTTTAAGATCTACAATTTTTATTTTGATCATTTCTCCATCTAAGGTCGTTTGAATAATATCCGGATAATATCCGTTTTTAAATATCCGGATATATCCGATACTTAACCGGATTATCCGATATCCGTCGGATATCGATGATATTGCATCTGTATTTGATATCCGCCTAAGATATCCGTTTTAGTATCCGTATCCAAAAAAAATTACGGATATCCGAGTAACTATCCAGATAAGTGTTCATATTTGTTCGGTCGAACGCACAGTCAAATAAATTTCCGTACCGTTTTCATCCATAGGCGCAGGTCTACAACCGCCCGCGTATGTCATCGCCGACGTCTGCCACAGGTAAAGTTACGTGGCAATCGCCCCAGCCAAGGACGGTCCCGTCTCGATCTCACGCGCCAAATGGACTGCGTGTTGCGTGCTCAACAGCCTCAACTGCTCATGCACGAAACAGGATACATGGACGAGAACGACGACGATGGCTAACCTCAAACAATCCCATAGCTCCCGCCACGTACACTCGGTCGTGACTATCACATGCCTTGCCGACCGCAGCGTGATGGGTTTCGCTTTCATCTTGATCAGTTTAATTTAACTTTAACCCTGAGACGTTTTTAGTGCAGAGTTGCAAGCCAAAGAAGCTAGTTAACCAGTGAACCAATCAACCAACCACCGGTTTACCCATTTGGAGGCCAACAGACATATAGCGGCGACGCATTTGGATGCGTCACGTTTCCCGAAGATGTGAAGGTGCAAAGCACAACTACTACTGGCGGCTAGGAGTGTATTCCTAGGGTTGCAGCCGGATTCGGCGCCGCCGGATACCAAGAGCACTGTAGCTACGCTGTAGCGTTTGTCTTTATTTGATAATAATTGTCCAATCGTTGACTAATTAGGCTCAAAACGTTCGTCTCATAAAGTACAACCAAACTATATAATTAATTTTTGATTTCGTCAACATTTAATACTTTATACATGTATCACAAATTTAATGTAACGAGGAATCTTCTTTTTACATAGTACCAAAAATTTAGAGAACTAAACATGGCATAGGACCAGGAGCGAGTCCATCGAATCATTGCGGAGAGTTCATGGTCAGCCCGACGCTTGTCCTTGATGCCGGCCCCACCTATCAGTGAGCGCTGCGCGTTAGCAGCAAAGTCAATTGGTCTCCCACCATCGCGACCGAAGGCGACTGGCGAGGATCCAACGGCTCAGATGTCTCCCGCACTGTACCCTCCGCCTCTCAGCTCCCTCTCCTTTTCACACGAACCCAGTGTCCGTCGCATCGCAGTCCAGAGAGAGGGGGAGAGCGGAACAGAGAGAAGAAAAAAAATTCGAGCCGCCCGCACGCAGAATCCAAACCCAAACCCTCGGCGAGGACGCCACCGTGGCGACGGCGGCGGCGGGGCTGGTCCCCGCGGACCTGGAGCGGCGGGTGATGGCGGCGGTGAAGGCGTCGGAGGCGCGCGGGGACTCGCCGCTGCTGCGGGCGGTGGAGCTGTCCCGCGTCATCGCCGGGGAGGGCGCGGGCGCGGGGCCCCTCCCCAGCGCCGACCTGGCCGGGATCCTCGTCTCCAACCTCTGCTTCGCGCACAACTCGCCCTCGCTCTGGAAGCTCCTGGGCCAGGCCGTGGCCTCCCGCCTCCTCTGCCCGCTCCACGTCCTCGCGCTCCTCACCCCTAGGTGCGTGCGCCCGTCCTCCGCGTTTCGCCGCCCCCGCGCTTGCTGGAATTGGTGCTCGTCTGTGTGCTCTCCGGCCAAGTCTCCGTGGCCTGTGGGTGTGAGTAACTCATCCAGCGGTGGTTTTGTCACACAGGGTGTTGCCGCAGCGGCGAGCGCAGCCTGAGGCGTACCGGCTGTACCTGGAGCTCCTCAAGTGTCACGTCACGTCGTCGTTGCTGTCTATGGAGGCTGGGCCTAATCGTGACAAGTAAGACCTCATCAACTAGGAAATGTGCTACCACTAGGTGTGATTTAGTCATAGCATCTGGTGTCTTGTGTCAGTATTTTTCTACTGTTTAGATATAATCCCTCATGTATTGCGTGCAGCATTCTATAGATTTTGTGCCACATATCAAAGGTAGAAGCGTTCCTGACAAGCTGGATGTTTGAAACTTGAATTGCACCACTCAGTGCTAACATTCCATACACAGTATCTCTAGTTTTCTTTCAGATTTTCCTGTTATGCTCTCAATTCGATTGATATGCATCTAAAACTTTGAACAGGAGTGTACAATTAAATTACAATACATAGCCTTATGACTTATGAGGTCAAGCTACATGTTTAAGATTGGGGTTCAATGGTGATGCTCTATGTTAACACTTTTTTTATTCTTGTTTTATACTTATGCCAAGATTTATGCTCATCTGTGGATACCTAATACATTCTGTAATGTCATGATATGTGTTTCCCATCAACTTTTTTTGTTGCTTTTTTTTTCCTCTTCAAGTTTTCTGATTTCATCTTTTCAGTATACTCAGAATCTATTATTCACCGTTAAACTGTGGTACACTATAGTACTATACACTACTGGAAGTTGCTCATAGGTAACTATTGTACTTCCCAGGATAGGGAAGTCCATTGCTGAAGCTTTGCAACTATCAAAGGTTTATGGATTTTCTGGAACGGAGTTTGGACATGTTGTCATTATGTTTGTGTTGGCTGTTGTCAATAAACTGATTGATAGCATACTCGAGGATTGTGGCTTTCCATCTGCGATGGCAGAGGGGCAAGAGAGTGTATATGCCACTGATGGGCCACAACCTATGGACTTAGATGTTAAAAGGGGATCTACTGAGAACCAAAATGAGCATCGCGAACAGTTACGCCGGAAGAACACTCTCATGGCTTTGGACGTGTTGCATATGATGGCTGCTGATAGAAAGATTCAATCATTTCTGCGCTTGATATTCCTGAACATGTATGTTTTCTCATACCCTTTCTCACGAGATCGTCTATGTATTACCCTTTGGATAGGTTTAACTTCGACTGGTTGCAACTAAGGGTGAAATTAGTTACAGAACGTTAGCCCAGCATTTCACATGCAACAAGATACAAGGTGTTTTAAGTGTGCCCACCCTATTAACATGTTGACCATGAAGATGTTATATCCATGATTTAAGTATTTCCCTTCTTGTCATGCACTCAAGCAATGCACTTCGGAAACATGTTAGGTACCACAACAACAACAACAAAGCCTTTAAGTCCCAAACAAATTGGGGTAGGCTAGAGTTGAAACCCAGCAGAAGCAATCAAGGTTCAGGCACGTGAATGTTAGGTACCATATATGAAAAAATATTCTTTACAGCTTTTCTGCAGTATATATAGGGATAGTAATAGGCTTAAGCAGTAAGTTTATGTAGTAATATATTGTTCAAAGGAGAGATAGATTTCTAGAACTTTTTTCCCCAATATATATATATATATATATATATATATTCGATTTCCAAACAGTTACTTAGCAATCAACTTCTCTGGTAGCTGTCAATAATATAGTAGTAGGTTTCGTTACCTAAACCTTCCATCCTTATTGCCATGACCTTGCACAAAAACTTTCAAAACGTACATCCCTACTCGCTTTGTATTTTTTCTGTTGCTAATAATCAGCATTACAATTGTGCTAACGAGGAATTTTTTCTAGGTTAGGCCTGAAAAGTTCAGTTCTCTACGCCAGAGGTTGAGTTCTATTGAAGCACACAAGGTGTCCTTGGAGACTCTACTGCCTTCTGTACACAAAATTAATGACTTGTTAATAAATATCTGGAGAGTTTGCAAAACAGACTATCAACCAAATAACAAACGCATTCTGGGTGTTCTTGGTAATATGGGATCCGTGGCTCCCTTCTGGCCAACTTACTTGGAGCTGGGAGGCCCTTTGCTGGATAATATTTGATATATATGTGGAGAATGCAATTGATGGGAGGCATCTAAGTCTTATATCAGCTATCGGGATTATAAAAGGTACTCCCTGACTCTCATTTTATATGACTATAAGGCAAGTTTACATGTCGGTCCAACTATGTAGACGAAAATGATCTGCGTGTTTGCAATCAAATTATTCAGTTCTTGCAAGAGTGGCATGATGTTGTTACGAAATATTGTGTTCCTTTTATTCAGAAATGACCAAGACAATGCAAGTGCTTAATGAAGCAAGCTGGCAGGAAACATTTAAAGCTCTTTGGATTTCCGCCCTTCGTCTTGTACAACGGGTAAATAGACCTTTCCATGATATAATTATGAATTGTAGTATTTACATCCATGTGGCTTTCTCACTTGCAAAGTGTTATAACTAGGCTAGAGAACCTCTTGAAGGACCGATTCCTCATCTAGATGCAAGGCTGTGCATGTTGTTATCTCTTATACCATTAGCAGTTGCCGAGATTCTTCAAGAAGAAAGTGATATGCTTGGAGCTGAAGGAAACAAAATTCTTCCACAAAGACAAGGGCTTATATCGTCTCTCCAGGATCTGATCCAGTATTCAGGGCTTCTTGTCCCACCTTCATCAGTGGTGAATGCAGCTAATGCTGCAGCCTCAAAAGCGGCAATATTTAAGGCCAACTATAAGACTGGGGTTGGCAACTCTAGCTTGATGGACCAGACTGACTCTTCCATGAAAGCTGGTACTTGTACTCTTCATATCCTACCAATTAGTTAATACTTATCACATTAGAAAGAAAGCAGAGGCTATGCTGGGTGAGACACACATAAGTCCTTGGTTTTATCATTTCTAATTACCTCTTGAGGGGGTGTGAAGTTTCACTATCTGTTTCTTGCTGAAGGCATTCCATGGGCCTCCGCTAGTTGAGTCCCCATGATAACCAATCTTTGTTATCATATCGCTTGTTAGCTATGCTCGGAACATTTTTATGTCCTTATTGCTTCAGTATTCTGTTGCTCATAATAAATGCATTTTTAACCCTTCATCATTCTATCCTTTTTTCTTACTTTTACTTGACCATTTTTTTCAGCTGGGAACATGCTCCATCTTATTATCGAAGCCTGTATCTCGAGAAAGTTGATCGATACATCTGCTTACTTATGGCCTGGTTATGTTGTACCATCTGGGACTTTAAAAGATACAGCCTTGCCCCAAGAATCCCCCTGGTTAAACTTTATGAAAGGGTCTCACTTTCAGGACCCCTTATTGATGCTCTGGTAGCAACTCCTGCTTCAAGGTGTGTAAATTGGTGTATAAATTCTAATGGCCAATCATGACTGGTTTGCTCTTAAGACTTCTTTTCAACTAATAATTTACTACTTTAGTGTGCTATATTACATCATTTGCTCTCGTGCAGAATTTTGAAATGAGAGCAAAATAGAAGCATCCATATAGCATGCGATCTAAATTAGGCTCCTGGGACTACTAGCTACCCTGGTTCTTTATATTTTAAGTCAACTCTGCTTGATGTCTTGTTCCTTTGTTTGTACCTTTTTTTCCTTTTGCTCTCCACTGCTAGAAGTAGAGATGACTTTCCACTCCTGGGACTCCACTCATCCACAGAATCAATCTGTCTCCATCTCCACTCCCGTGCATGCTTGCCAGGTGCCCTGGCCCCTGCTGGCAGCACAGCACCCGTAAATGTTGTCCTCAATGCCTAGCAGCTGCAGATGCCAGAGTGGAGATGGAGATAGTGGATCTGTGGATGAATGCAACCGGATTGCTGGTATGGGCTACAGAAAGTGGTGCCACCGGCCACCACGGCTGCGGTAGTCCTTGCAGCTGTGGCCAGGCGATGGAGGTGGAGTGACTGGCTGTGGGACGCGGAGTGGAATGGATTGGATAAGGCTTCCTGGTTAGGGTTACAGATTTTATATGTGTTTCTCCAGCTGCTGTGTTGGGCCAGCCGGGCCTCTAAGCAATTTGCGCATATGAACAGTACTGGACCTAGCTACTCGAGGCCCCGTGGGGAATCGAGGACGAGGGACAGTGGATCATCTCTGCCCCGTTAGACCCGAGGGGGATCAATTTTCCTCCATTTGGTTCCCGTGGGGCAACATTTGCAACCACACCCGTCCTCTAATAGGGGAATTGCCCGCGGGGAATCGAGGATCGAGTCCCCATTGTCATCTCTAGCTAACACCACCATGTTCCTGCCTTGTTTTGAAATCTGTTTGTTTCTTCAGACTTCAGTGTTTCGGAGTTGGACAAATTATACCATTTTTTTTTTGTTCTCTACTGCTACCATCATGATTATCCTGCGCTGATGTGTAATCTGTTTGTTTCTTCAGTGTTGCGGAATTGGACAAATTATACAGTATAGCAACAAATGGTTCAGAAGAAGAAAAAACAGCTGCTGCAAAGATTCTTTGTGGCGCATCACTTGTTCGTGGCTGGAATATTCAGGTACCTTGATTTACTGTTGTACACCTTACTGTGTGAAGACTGAAGACATTCCATATTGTCAACATATGGCTGACTGGATTTTTTTGATTCTTCTGTACAAAGTTCATTATTTTTTAGGTGAATCAATTTGACAATGTGGGGTTGTTCATTTGATTTTCTTTTTCATACTCACAAAAAGGGCACTTCCACTATTTATTTACTTCATAATGTTTTTTAATGGAACTTAGGGAAATTCAAATCTTAAACTGTTAGCATAGCTGAAAGTTCACTATCGTTTGTTAGTCAAATGCATGTGAGAATAGTCCCAAAAATCGTCAGAAATGTAGGGACGTAGGGCATTGGCATGTTGTCATATACCAACATTTTGGGGACACAGCTAGTTACCTAAAAACTGTAGAAAATCTTACAGACACACTTGCTACAAATGTTGTATGCCTTTTTTTTAACATTTGTGGCTATATGCTCATGCACATGTGTCAGGAACATGTGGTCGGTATGGTGGTCAAGCTATTATCAGCTTCTTTACCCTCAGTTTCCTCAACTTCAACTCCTGGGAGCATGAGCCACTACCTTGCTCATATGTCTACGTTAAATGAAATCTTACTCGGTGTGTCTTATGGTGACGCCATCCACATTCTTTCGTTGTATGGAATGGTAATGATAATTGCAATATAACTTGGTTATGCTGTTTATTTGTCAATCTGTTATTGGAATATTAAACTAGGTGAATGCTTTTGCATATTTCTATTCAGAACAGATCCTCACCACTAGATGTGTGCTTTGCTTTGTCCCTCAAAAACGTTTCTTATTTGTTTCATTGTCATCAAGGAGAAAAGTTTCATCACATCGTTAGAGACTTAGAATGTCAATAGATCAGTGTTTCTTTACAATTGTTCTCCACATGCAATTTTGTGTTTCCCAGTGTGCTGTGTTCTTTTTCAGTTTGGCTTTTAGATATATAAGGCATGTTGTTCCCTGTACAAGTACAACAACAGTTTAAAGGACCTGTACTATAGTTTTGCAACCCCTTGTTAACTTGTCATGTTTACTAGTAGAAGTTGTTGGAACTGTATCTGACTGTAACAACTTTCACTTGCTTCACTAACATTCGATGACTGCCCTAACCTCATTGACCAATAAGTGCAGTATGCAATTCTTTGTGCTTTGGACCATTTATTTAGGTATCCTGCAAGTAGTAGTTGTGTTATGCGTGTTCTAATATTACTATGTCACAAATGTAAAACATTTTATTAATTGGGCACAGAATTATTTAACATGGCTGCACTGATTGCTGTTCCTGAATTTAAGAAAATCTTTATGTGATACAGGTTCCAGATGTTGCTGTGGCTTTAATGCCACTATGTGAGGCTTTTGGGTCAATAGCACCGCCACCTAATCACAAGTCTACCATTCTTGGTGAAACATCTGTTTATTCGGTCTTCTCTTGTGCATTTCTTTGCCTTCTTCGCTTGTGGAAGTTTTATAGACCTCCTCAAGAGTATTGTCTTGCTGGTCGTGGAGGCTCAGTAAAGCTGGAACTGACTCTGGACTATCTGTTGTTGATGCGCAATAATCGCATTGAGTTCTCAAATTCATCTGCCCCTAATAGGGATTCTTACAACAATATGGGCTCAGTCAATGAGGTTCCTGCTCAGCCGATTTATATTGATTCTTTCCCCAAGCTAAGGGCTTGGTATTTTCAGAATCAAGCTTGCATCGCCTCTACACTTTCTGGTTTTTGCAACAAAAACCCTGTCCATCAAGTCGCGAACAAAATTTTGAATATGATTTGCCGAAAAATGAATAAAAGTGGGGTATCATCTAGTAATCTTTCATCCACTTCTAGTAGTAGTGTCAGTGGTTCCTCTGTAAGTGCATCGGATGATTCTTGCCAAAGGCCTGCAGTTCCTGCTTGGGAATTTTTAGAAGCTGTTCCTTTTGTTCTTGAAGCTGTTCTGACAGCATGTGCTCATGGGCGGCTTTCCAGCCGAGACTTGACTACAAGTGAGTTGATTCCCCATATTGTATGTTGGTAGCTCTCAGCATCATTTTATTTGCTAATGTTACCGTACTGCAGGCTTAAGGGATCTGGTGGACTTTTTGCCTGCTTCTCTTGCTGCAATTGTAAGCTACTTCTCAGCAGAAATTACACGAGGAATCTGGAAACCTGTTCCAATGAATGGAATTGAATGGCCTAGTCCCGGTGCTTCTCTTCATTCCATTGAAGCTGAAGTAAAGGAAATTCTTGCATCTGCTGGTGTTCAGATTAACAGCTGCTATCCGCGTATGTTCTGCATTCTGTTCTTGCACATCAACTTAGTTACCTTAGTCACATTTATTGTAGTTACCTTAGTCACATTTATTGTCAGGCTTCGCCATCAATATGCCAAATACCTTTATTCCACTTATGTTGTCATATAAAGCATATTATATTCTTTCAGGTGGTGTGCCGCCAATGCTTCCTTTACCTATGGCTGCACTTATCAGCTTGACGATTACATTTAAGCTAGATAGGAGTTTGGAGTACATTCATAGGGTCATTGGACAGGCACTAGAGAACTGTGCAGGGGGGAGTTCCTGGCCAAGCATGCCCATTATTGGGGCATTGTGGACACAGAAAGTGCGAAGATGGCATGACTTCATCGTCCTCTCTTGTATGCTTTGTCCATTTGGCAGAGACAAAGATGCAGTTCATGTAGCTCATCCAAAGTTGCTTCTTGTCCTTTCTGCAGTCTTCACCCAGTGGTTCTGACATAATTGCAAACCGTGGAGTTGGGGCTTTACTAGGGACTCAATCACGAATCAAGGTCTTAGGCTCCCAATGGCACCTGGTTTCATCTACTTGAGAACATGTCGAACTTTCCATGACACTTACTTCATTAGTGAAGTGATCCTCAAGCAAGTTATTGAGTGGGCTCACAAACTTGCAAATGGATGGTCTTTCAATGGGCCTCCGCAGTTGAAATCAGGCCGGACACCACTATCTTGTGCAGCATCCATGGCGCATCAGGTTGCGTTGCTTGGTGGAGGTCTCCTGTGCGTAGCAGGTGGACCACTTGTGGTCCAGGTGTTGTATGAGGAAACACTGCCAACACTGCTGCTATCAGCCAGAGAACAGAGTTTGAAAGACCCTGGGCCAGTTTCTAGCACACTCCAAGGTTATGCCATGGCCAACATGCTCTTCTACAGTGGTAGCCTGCTTTGGCTAGCGGATAGGACTGATCCTGTCATGAAATTGTCTTTCCTCTGGAGGCGGCCACGGGTGGTGAGAAACCACATGGATTTCATAGCTGGTGTATTAGACGGACACATTCTTCTGGGCTGTGACCCGGGTACCTGGAAAGCGTATGTGTCGCAATTTATGTTCCTGGTGGTGAAGTTTGTTCCATCATGGTTGCGGGACATAAAGCTGGAGACGCTAAAGAAGATAGCAGCTGGACTTAGGAGTTGGCATGAACATGACCTTGCTCTCTCTCTTCTTGAGCGAGGAGGACCACAAGCAATCTCTGTTGTAGTCGAGACCTTGCTGTGATCCCCTGCCATTTGGACATTTTGCCCCCACCTGACAGAGCAGCCGCTGTTGGAGTTTTGAGGGTTTGAGGTTGGTGATTTGAGGTCTAGCTGAAGTAATCAGGATAACTCTTAAAGAATTCCACTTGAGCTATCAGGATAACTGAAGTTTTATCATGTATGGTGAACCCATCGGGGTTTTTGTGAATTCAATACTGAAGAACATGCGACCTACTAGTAGGAGTGTATTAACTTCAGCCCTAACATGTAATATATGGAAAGTTCATTAACTTATTGTACTGAACTTTCTGTATTTTAATTTCTGTCCTCTCGACTCTCGGAAGTCTTCTACATTATTGCCCGTCGTGAAGTTGTTGCAATGCATCGAAAATTTCTCAATTTTTTTGTCCGACCGCACTTTACTCTCCTTGGTTTGGATCTCACTCTTATTATTGGCCACACATTTTCAATCCAAATCTCTAACATGAAACAATGTTTTCAATCCAAAGCCACCACATTTTTAATTAAACATGAGACCAAGTTTTGAACAATGTCTGTCTAGCCATGGTATGTGGTTTAATTCAAAGATATATTGGAACAGACGATGCGATGGTTGCATAAATCTCCAAGCCATAAATTTTTCTAAATGACCGTGCAAACTGTACATTTTAATAACACCTACAGTCTAAAAGATGACCATAAACTGTACGTTTTAATAACACACCTGCAATCTATGAAAGTTGACGCGGTGCTGGTCCTAGTTCCTTTCCTTCAAGCTTCAGTAATCAATTTTTATCTTTCATCATCAATATTGATAAAAAAAAATTATATAAAACTTTTCCCATGACGCGAGTCGTGAGTCCTAAACTTCATTTTACTTAATTAAAGCAATGAAATTACAAAGTAGTTTTAGTGCAACCGTCAATCTGAAAGGCGGCCACAAACCAACACACATAAACGCCATCTTAAAGGAAATAACTACCATGTCATCGCTTCAAACCAAGGCCATATAAATTCCTACCGAGGCCACTGACACAGCGCACATGCTGCAAACACTGAAGAAAGTAAGCCCAACAACTAAGCTCGATCCAATCACTGGTGGTTAATGGTCTCCTGGTGCTTCCGGTCTTTCTTCCACATGGGTTTGCCATTTGGTGGCGAAAGTGTAGTCTTCAGAATTTCCACCCCATGCTCCTCCTGGAGGATGAACTGGCTTTGTAGATTGTAGCCATGAGCAATATATAAGAGAGAATGGAGCAAATAATACAACCGATTTATGTAGGAGATTAAACCCTTTTTCCATAAAATCTAACGGCGTTGCTTGCTCTTCGTCGAGCTTGTCAAACTGCTGCGAGCCCCACAACATTGCAAAGTATTTTTTGACATATTGGATAAAATACTACAGTTATTAAGAAATATTATGACTTGTAGGCCTGAGAACTCGGAATGGTCATTTTAACGTAGGCCTAATACTACCTAAAATAGTGGTTTTGCAAAAGTACTTTTAGAATATTAGATCAATGCTATAGCTTTGCAAAATACTTTGGTTCTGAAAAGTTGTTGGATGTTTAGATACAAACAATCCCATACTCTCTAAAACCATGGTTTTGTAAAAAAAACTTACTCTTTTGGAGTTTTATAAACTCTACTCACATCTTTTTTTTTTTTCTAAATCATGATTTTATATGTTAAACCATATTTTCTTGAAACCACGGTTTCTATTACATCATCCAAACGGGCCCTAAGCGCATCTAGTCAGTTCACATCGTTAAAGGATTCTCACATGTACTATTTTGTGCTACACTACACATGTATTTGTGATAAGAGCTGATTCAAAAAAATATGTTGAAATGTTTTTTCTTCCCTCGTAAATGGTAGATATGTCTATATGAGTACTTATGAGTTTTACATGCCAAAAAGATGCAAATACATGTTGTTTGTTTGTATTACAATACAAAGTTGCAAACAATTTTTAACATAGTTAAAATTCACTCACAAAAACTAAAATATATCAAAACAACTAACATACAACATCCCAAGGTTATAAATTGCCATTCCCACCGAGACCACTAATTCCTAGAGTTAAAATAGAGCTACATATCAAACAGGTGCACATACTCCACGATGGAAGACCAACTCTAAAAAATACAACTTTGGTTGAGCGGAACTACAAAAAAAAAATAGAGCAAGTTGCGGTTCCCAAGGGACCATAGAGAGCCACAAAGGAGGGGTTTGGATTTGAAAAAAGTTTCAGAAGATATATCTAAAATAGATGGTGATTGATACAGCAATTCTTGTTCGTAAGTTCTAGTGTGAGTATTGCGCCGAACATAAAGTTTGTGACGGGTAGTAAAAGAATAGTCTCTGACTATCATTAAATAAAGGGTAGGGCAATTCTTTTTTCTAGAGATTCTAGAGAAAGTGACACAAAGTGAAGCGAAAGAGTTTTCTTTGTATAAGAATTAGGTCTATATCATATATAAATAGAAGGGAAATAAAAAAAAGGGAAGTGGGGATTACATTGGATGAATCCTTAAGGAAGACACGTCACAAACCAAACAAAGGCTAAAGTAAGCACTCCTTGCTTTTGGTTTGAGCGAAACAGATCCTAGATGTTGTCATAGTAAAGAATCGTCAACAAGGGCGTTCTAGTGCGTCATAGATTCTTATCCAAGACTTGTATCATTTGATGATGCCATGTGAATCGCTAGAAACATGTGAAGTGTATGGCTAACCCAATAACGAAAGTTTCATAAGGGGACTGGAGCAGGCTACCATGAGACAAGAGATCTTCTTTCTAGAGAGATTCGATTCGGAACTCTTATATCCAAGGTCAATATGGAAATTCCTTCAGAGGTTTTCCCTTACTTTGTCTGTTTCAACAAACAATTCAAAAAACATGAGGGTTGCGCTCGTTGCGAGACTTAACCCAACACCTTACGGCACGAGCTGACGACAGCCATGCACCACTTGTGTCCACATTCCCGAGGGCACCCCTCTCTTTCAAGAGGATTCGTGGCATGTCAAGCCCTGGCAAGGTTCTTCGCTTTGCATCGAATTAAACCACATGCTCCACCGCTTGTGCGGGCCTCATCAATCCTATATCTATCTATATAAAGAGAAAATCGTGTTAGGAAGCGGTTTTTTCTTTGGCCAAATGTTATAGATGTCCATCTGGCCGGGCCGGGCTCGGCCCGGCACGGGCCCGTGCCAGGCATGGCCCACTGGGGGTCAGGCCGTCATGGCACGTCGTGCCTCCCGGGCTGTGCCGGGAGGGCTTCGTGCCTGGCCATCGGCCCAGGCACGGCCCTATGGGCCGAGTTTCAGGCCGGGCCGGCCCGATAAGCACGACAATCTTAGCAGGCCGGGCTAGCCCGCAGCCCGAGTAAGTGGTCGCCGGACGGGGCAGGGAGGAGCTAAGACAGAGATTGGGAAGCGAGGATGGGGCGACTGTCGCGATTGCAGTGCTGTGACGGAGTCAGAGACGGAGCCTCCGCGCGGCCGCACACAGGCGCGACCTACATGCGCTCGCCGAGGCAGAAGGAGAGCCACCACCGCCCTCTGCTCCCACGCACTCGCCGAAGCTCAGGCCTCGTGGTAGTCGGGTCTGGTGGAGGCGCGGCACCCACCGCCGTCGAAACTGGTGGAGGCGGAGGCGGCGCGACGCTTGCCCAAGCTCGGAGTGGGAAGCGATTGGGGCTGCGAGTGGGGAGTGGGCGACGATCGCGACTCGCGACTTCGCGAGTACGACGCGGGGAGAGAGGGGAGCTGGGCGCGAGAGAGTGCGGCGCGGGTGGGAAGGGATTGAAGTTAGGGTTAGGGGTTGGGGACACAACGCTGCTTTTACTAGGCTGCCACCGTGCCTGCCTGTGATGGCCGAGGCGGCCTGTGCAACATACGGGCTGAAAGCAATGCCCGAGCACGGCTCGCTTCCCGGACCGGCCCGCCCGACCATCGGGGCGTGCGTGCTTGGCCGGACAAAAACGCTGGCTTCGTCTTGGGTCGCCAGTGCCTCATGTTGTATGGACATTTATACCAAAATCGGTACTTCAAACTTGGAATGAGCATGAAGAGATTAACGGGACTTCTTTCTCTTTTGTATTTTTCTAGCGGACCGATCGCAAGAAGATCTTTGGTCTTCCCAGAACCGATGAAAAAGTGGGTCGCTTCTTATGGACTCGCTTCGTAATGATTCTTTTATTACTATTTCCTCCGCTCAATGGATAAAGATGACCCCTTCTTCCTATGCATTACTAAGGAACAATAGTCTCTCTTTTATAGGTGAAATTTGACTGGGTTTTAGTTTATACCCTTCCTGGATTATATGAGACAAAAAACAAGAAATGGCAAGAAAGTTCTATATGGATACAGAAATAGAAGAAAATTAGGATGACTGTGGATTAAATGGTTCCGAACCTGTGAATTTTTTTTGTTGTAATAACAAGAAATTTAGTTCAATACTTGTGAAACGTTTAATTATTCGAATGTATTGGCAGAATTTTTGATTAATTCCGTTAATTATCCTAACCAAGATCAATTGTTTGATCACCGCAAATTTTTTTATTCTGAGTTTTATTCTCAGATTCTATCTGAAGGGTTTGGGATTGTTGTAGAAATCCCACTCTCGCTAGGGCAACTATCTTGTCCAGAAGAAAAAGAAATACCAAAGTTTTGAAAAATTTACAATCTATTCATTCAATATTTTCCTTTTTAGAAGACAAATTTTTGCATTTACATTATCTATCACATATAGAAATACCCTATCCTATCCTTTTAGAAATCCTGGTTCAACTCCTTGAATACCATATTCAAGATATATATATTTTTATTTGTTACACTATTTTTGTTATGTAAGCCCACTTAGCTCAAAGGTTAGAGCATCACATTTGTAATGCGAGGATCATCGGTTCAAATCACTCTATCTTATTGATACGTTAAAAAAAACTTCACTTAAATCGTCTGATTCCTCTTTATCGAAGAAGCCTATGCTCAAAATAATCGAGCATGGGCTTTTCTGGTCAAAATGTATTTTGTCTTTATTACTTTATCATGAGTTATTTTTCTTGGTGAGGGCCGAAATACTAACGGCCCACACGGCCCACTAGGTGCCACTAGCGGCGGGACTGCGGTCTGCGGGTGCGGAAGGAATGATTTGGCGGGAACATCGACAAAACGCCGCCGTTTCCCCTCCCCATTCCTCCCCCCCAAACGGCCAAACCCCACGTTCGCCGGCCCGTCCGTCACCATTCGATTCGTCCACTTCCATCCCGACTCGGCGACTCCGTCTCCGCTCGCCCCCTCCTCTCGACGCGAGCAAAACCTCTCCGCTACCGTCCACCCATTCCGGCGGAGCCCCCTGGCCCCTGCCAGAATCAGAATGGAGGCGGCGCTGAAGGCAAGCATCGCATTGTCCCAACTCCCCACCCCCAAAACCCTAGGCGCCGTGGGGCCCCGACGCCGCGCGGCGCTAGAATCCTATCCCAACGGCGGCGGCGGTCTAATCTCGCACGTTTCTGTATGTGCAGGGCTATTTCGGGTACTCAACGTTCCGGCCGTACCAGAGGGAGATCATACAGAAGGTCCTGGATGGGCGGGATTGCCTCGCCGTCATGGCCACCGGCAGCGGCAAGTCCATCTGGTAGAGTCGGTCTCCCTCGCTTGTTTTTTTTTTTTTGTGTTTTATTATGACGAAATGGCTGTGCGGCGCTTGTTTCTTTATTTATTTATTTTGGGTGGGGTGTTGTCGATGGTACAATCTAAGTTCCAATGCTGCATTTATTGGACGATGAGTTGTACCTCTGGCGCTTTCTGGATCTATTTTTTGTGGATGGTTGAGATATTGCTCGAGATTGATTGATTGATGGGTTTCAATGGTTTCGTAAATACATTTTGTTGGTAGAAATGTAGCCATTAAGCTATAATGGCCAGGTCGTTTTCATTGTAGTGTGCATATCTTAACATTTTCTGCCAGGAAATCATCAGGTCAGCTGGAGTTTAACTGCACCTAGGAAATTATGATTAGAGTGGATTGTGCAGAAACCGGCAAAATTATCTTCTCAAAAGGACCTGACCACATTTTTCTCTGTTTCATAATTGTTGTCATCTGCAAAACCTTTTAGAGCTGTTTTGTTTATCAATTTCTACAAAAATCTATAGTAGGTTGTTGACACTAGAGCTGTGGGTTTGCAGCAGGATTTCAAGCGAAATGCCTCCTATTTGCTAATTTGTTTTTTTGTAAGTATGTGTTACTGCAATGGCCATAGAATAACTTATTCAGGCCACTTCAAGTTACGATAGTTACTATGCTAATTTACGAGACTACAATAACTCCTTACTAAGTGATTTACTATAACATTATGGTAAATATCACCGTGAGCTGTAGTAACCCGAGTATCGTGAATGCATATTCATGTTATCGTAAATTGGTACAAACATTATCGTAAATCAAGGTGGCTATAGAATAAGTTATATATATATATATATATATATATATATATATATATATATATCCTTAAATTATTTGCTGATCTCTCACATTTCTTCAGAAAAAAGGAAATGCGTTTTGTCGAACTCATTTATATTAAGTAAGTATTTTATAGTAGCCTCAACAGACCGTAGTTCTCTTCTGGTATATCCAGACAATAGGTAGGAACAAGACTGAAAGATTCTATTATTTCATTTTATATACAAAAATTGCTGTTCGATTATGGCAATTCCTCTTTTGGCAGCTATCAAATTCCCCCCACTGGTTACAAAGAAGACAGCTGTTGTTGTAAGCCCTCTTCTGTCCCTGATGCAAGACCAGGTAGGGTTGAAATGTTCAATATATCCTTAGTGCTTTACTCACGTTTTTAAATTTCTTTTACCAAAATACTTGGTGAGGACTTCATTTCCTTAAAACAGGTTATGAGTTTAAAACAAAAAGGTGTGAAATCTGAGTACCTTGGCAGCACCCAAATGAATAGCTCCGTCAGCAATGAGGCGGAAAAGGGCGCGTTTGATGTGCTGTACATGACACCAGAGAAAGCCATTTCACTTCCTTCAAGGTGAAACGCTATAATATTTGGTATCACTTTAGATGTTATAAAAGCACATGGTGTGCTGGACTTGTTCTTGTGACACCATAGTAGGCTGTTGCAAACTTGAATAGCTTGTCCTTCTGAGTATGCAGGATTAGTGGAAGAGGTTGTAGATACCTTGGTTAATAGTGAAGGCATATGTATATTGCTTCAAGTTATTGTGCGTGTCAACATTATTTTCATAGGTAACCGAGATGTAGCTATAAATAGAGTTGCAACGAGGACCCAACAGGATTTATTTCTAGGGAACTTGGAATCTTGGGCTGTTGAAATATCTGTCTCCAAAAGGAATGTGTGTATCCTTGATATAATGTCTCCGATGAAATTGATTATAGGTAATGCTAGCGACAGATATGTGTTTGCTCAAGGAAAGGCTTCTTGGCTCACCTTCTGGTTTGTTGTTATGTGGGGACAGCTGTACTGTGATGCAGTGCAGCACACTTGAACTGGCTCCAATATCCTCTCCAACTTCATCACGTTAGTTTAATATTTAGTTTAGAGATTGAGCTGGCTTGCACATTAATATTGAAGTTTGTTAGTATGTTTTGTTGGTCTAGGATTCTAGGAGATGGCTGTGTAATGCCATGCAATTAGTTGAATAAAGGAAGCATGATTAAACTCCCCAAAACCCATCCATCCTGTGCGTTGTCTCTGGGCGACGTTGCTGTCATGGTTCCGCCCTTGTTGAAGCATATGGTCCTGCATCTGCGTCCATTCATCTTCCACCGCTACCACCCGTACCCTACAACCTTCAATCCTTTGATACGAGTTGCAATCCATCACACTTGGCTGCAATAAAACTTGAGAGTTCTGTCCTGGGTAGATCAATATTTATACAATAAAGCTGTGGCCTTATCAAATCTTATTATATGTTCATCATGTAGATCTTGGCAATATGGATATATTTAGTAGGGCCCTCCCCTACTGTTCTTCTGAAAGAAACAAAACAAATAATACATGCAGTTTTTACTAGGTTGACTTACTTTTCTTTTCCATTTTTGTCCAGGTTTTGGAGTAACTTGCAGGCTGCTGGAATCTGCTTGTTAGCTGTCGATGAAGCTCATTGCATATCGGAATGGGGCCATGATTTCAGGTTGTTTTCTCTTTTGATTTGATAAATGGAACACTGAACACGTCTTGTAAAAGTACAGGGTACTTAGTCATTTGAGTTTCATAAACAATATATTTATGCAATTTGGAAAATCCTGTATTCACTTGTGGAACAGGTATTTGTGGTAGTTATATGTAACGGTGGGATGGATTGTGTGTTCTTATTTATCCAGATTTTGGGCTGATGCTATTGCACCTTTATTTGCATGCTTTTTCTATATTTTTCATCCCCCATCCTTTGATATTGAATTGATTGGAAGCGGAGAGAAATCGGCATTTCTCCCTCTTTTAACTTGATTTCCATAATTCAAACTCTCTTGCAGGATGGTGTACAAGCAGCTGCATTCATTGCGCGACCTTCTTGTGGGTGTTCCCTTTGTTGCTTTAACTGCCACTGCCACAGAAAGGTATGAATTTTACACTATCACTTTGTTTTCTTCCTTAAAGGGACAGGGTAAGATAAATAGCTTTAGAGCATTCAAATCCCCTAAAGATAATAACAATGAGCATTAGATTATGCCCATAGTGGTTATTAGGTGTTTGACTGTAAACAGAAGGATTTTCCAAAATTTGGTGATGGATGTCCGGCAGGTAGCCTCCAAAACCAAAGAGGACATCAACCTATGCTTTAGGGTCTTCAGCAACCTGACTTAGACCTTGTATCTATCCCCCAGGACGTGTGTGCTGTGTGCCCTTTGGGGGGTTTTTGTGCCGATGGCACTTTCTGTACATAAACTCTCTTTTCTTAATTGAGAGGCAGAGCTCCTGCTAGGTTCATTAAAAAAAAAACTGTATCCAGATATCATCAAAGAGATGACAAAATCAAACTATTGTATCCTTGGTGTCAAAGTAGCACATATAGTCTCTAAAAGCAGCTGAACCAGCCAGACAAACATACAAATATCGCAACTGTATATTGTGTAAATTGTCAGCGCGAGTGGGCTCTCTCTCTCTCTCTGGGGTGGTGGTTGTGGCAGAACCGCCCAATTTAACCTAATCCCGAGTGTACTTGTCAGCCATTTGACACTAAGTACACAAGAGACCAAGTTAAGCCCGGTAGTCTGTCGAGTACACCCCATGGGAGAACTCGAAAATCCACGTTTTCATCAGGATCATAAACAAGTGAATAAAGCTTACATCATTTATTAACCATTTCATACATCACAAGATTACGTAAAATCAGAGTTAAAACAGGTTTCATATAAGCAACGGAAGAAGGGCCATTTTATACAAGAGCAGCGGAAGTAAATAGTTTTGAATAAAGCAGAAGTAGAATTATATGAGAGTAAAACTACTACGATCGCAGCGGAAGGATTTCCTCGTTGAGCCCACCAGGAGGTATTCACACACAGCAACGGTTAGCTCCAGCATCCACCTGTTACCTGCAACAGGGGGAATAAAACTCTGAGTACACAATGTACTCCACAAGACTTACCCGACTAGGTGGGAGTAGCCTCCCAACTCTCAAGGATATGCCGGGGGCTATTTGATAGCTGTTTGGTTGTTTTTGCAGAGAAGGATTACTAACAGTGCATCCTTATATTCAAAGTTTTAGCAATCACATCAATTACATTCCCTAACCATTCTAGGTAAGCACCTGAACTACTTTCAAGCATGTGGTAAGCAATCAGAATATTTCTCATGATCCGCAGTACCCTCATCATCACCTTCATGTTTCAGTTGTATTAACTACGATAGCAGTAGTGCGACAAGTGGTATCCATATCCGAGGAGGGCGGCGATTGCAATCGATGTACATCCAGCTGGGCAATCCCAAACACACGCCCGTACTTCTTGAAGGAGCAAGTACAAGGCTACCTTTCCTCTCGTACGACCCAGGTCTGAAAGTGACCCGACCATTCGGAGAACCCACCCTATGAGGCCCGTCCCTCGAACCGGCGACGGGTTTCCCCCTCATAAGTTTTACCATGGACATCCCCTGCCTCCTAACAACTCCTCGAATGGTCAGTGTAACACTCCAATAAACTTTTTAGGGACCCTGAGTCATAGGAAAGTACTTAGCTTCACGGTCAACTGTAACTCAGGCCCCTGTTATGTGTTCGCGGGAAACGTGCACCCAGAGCCGCGCCCTGTTGCACCTACCAACCATTCAGAAAATCCATTTTTCCTCTTCCTGCCCGGTCTCCAATTATTGTCCATATCCAAAACCATGTGACAGTAGTAATAGTTTAACCATCACCTATTTCTCGCGAGTGACCGTCCATCACTCGACTTCTACTGTAAGCCCTATAGCATAGCATACTACACGATCCCTATCTTACTAGTAGGACTCATAGGATAGAATATTTATGCGGGTGGGTTTCAATAAACTCCTGTAACTTAATGCACGAACAACATAATAATAAGTGCTATAAAAATAAAGGTTATGCACCGGGGCTTGCCTGGGTAAACCATCATTATACTATGTTAGTCGGCTCCATCTTCGGGACGTGATCCAACCATCTCCATCTTCTGGACGTGGTCACATTACACCGGCTTCTGGTTCAACTCCATAGGCCATCAATTCATCCATCAACCACCAACGCACCTAAATGATATGCATAGATGCAAATGCATGCTTAAGTCAAACAAGTGCAACAAGACATTTACAAACAATACAAGACAAGCAACACGTCATCACGGTGAAGGGTAACTAAATGTTGGAGGTTCGACTCTCATCCTCTCCACAACGACTTACTTGCGAGTTACTATTATCACACAAGTGAGCAAAACAACTATTTGCATTTTAAAACATACAAGTGAAAGTTCATCATAACATGCCAAACACACTTCTACTTAACACACTTTGCCTATACATCATGTAGAACAAGTAGTATAGACAAACGTATATTTTTTGAACAGGAAATACAGCAGGGGAAGCCCCCACTGTAGGAATATATTAAATAAAAACTGAAACCTGTACAAAAGATAGAGAAATAACAACAAACCAACCAGCCGGGGGGCTGAGGTAGCCACGGCGGGAAGGGAACCGCAGGCCAAAAACCAGGGAGGCCTAAGAGAGGAGATCTAAACAGAGGAGAAAGGCTACACGTTTATCATCTCTCATTCTAAAAGCCTGAAGTTTGGCCTCTTCACAGAAGAGTTTTTTCCAAGAAGAGAAAGAAGGCCGGCCTCTATCGAATATGAAGTTGTTTCTCTGCTTCCAAATATGCCAGGCAACAATGATGAAGGTCTCCATGAAGAAAGGATTTTGGTGCTGCTGTTTTGATTGTATCATCATTTGAAAGAATTACCTCATTCCAAATATGCGAAGGGCGGGCCTGGTGCAAGCGGTAGAGTCTTACCGCCTGTGACCGGAAGGTCCCGGGTTTGAGTCGCGGTCTCCTCGCATTGCACAAAGTAGGGTAAGGCTTGCCATCGACACCCTTCCCTAGACTCCCCTAACAGAAGCGGGAGCTCTCTCTGACTGGCACGCCCTTTGTTTTGATTGTATCATCATTTGAAAGAATTCACTCAAAGGTTCCATTGGATTCCCAAGTCTTTTAACATTCCCGGGTGAAGGGGCAATCAAAAATAGGTGGTGAGCAGTTTCTCAACATTGTTGCTGCAGAGAACACAATTGTAATTATTGCCCTCTAATTTGCTGCAGAGACAAACGTATATTAACCCTAATCTAAACACTTAACATATATAAAAGCTTTAATAGTTATAACCAAGGAATAAAAAGGTGGCGCACCAAACATCTATTTTGGAGATGAAAATTTTATGGGAGACACATCTTAACTAAACAAAGCTACTGCATAAATTTCATAATTTCTAGATAAGCAGATTATTTACTAACAGTTAATTAAGATTTAATTGTGATAAAAGCATGTGACACATGATAAATCAATAACTCAAGAAATAAACATCCATTGGACATGAAATTTTGCCCGAGCAGCACACACACATCCGCATTAGTTTACCATAAAAATTTCACTTTGCATTTGCACTAACCAAACATCCTCTATTAATTTACCAAGGAAAACATAGATCTGAAATTACAGCAATAATTTTATACTAAAACATATGATATTATATATCTAGTGCATAGATCTAGGCATTTGGAGTGTAACAAAACTGGTTTGGCATTTTTAGGATTTTTCTACAATTTACTATGAATTTTCAAAGTTTCAACTGATTTATACTAAAAAGAAAAAGGAAAACCATATAAGACAAACACTTTGTACTGAGGTCCCTGTAGTTTTATCAAACCAACCCGCAATACATTACACACTATGCAGCACTATTCATATAAGTCACGAGATTTACATTGGGAACCCTGGAAAAGCTTCTATTTATGCGTGAGGTCCTTCTCTTCTTCTCCCTCGTCCTCACCGAGCAGAGGAGGGCCGCAGCAGGGCCGATTTCCGGCCATGGAGGGCTAGGCGGCGGCGATGGACCGGGCGGAGGGGTGCGCGGGCCCCGCAGAGACCTGGGGCTGTACACGACCTCGCTGGAGGCGGCCTGAGGCGGTCCACCATGGACGCCGGCGGCTGGCGGCAGGCGCGGCAGGGCGCTTCTTCTGGGCGTGGCGGCCATGAGAGACCCATGTAAGGAGCGTGGGAGGGGCGGCTTTCACGCCGAGCGTAGCCGGTGGTGGCCCGCCATGCGTGCGGTGGGCGATCAGACGGCGGCAATGGGCGCTTCTGGCCTTCTGGCAAAGGCAGCTCCGGCCTTGGCGGTCTCAGCGAGTGTGTGCGAGGCAGAGCGGGGCCAGAGGCGGAGTTGGTGACGGTGGAACGCGGCGCAGCAGCTAGCAGGAGCTCTCGACCGGCCATGGCGACATTGCACTGAGACACAGAGCAAGCGAGAGGGAGAGCAGAGCGAGCGGGAGGCAGAGGGAAAGTGAGGCGCGCGAGGGGCTCGGCTCCACTTGAGCGCGAGCGCAGGGGCAGCGCGGCATGGGCGGGCGCAGAGGCACAGCGCGACGAGGACGACGCTGCTGTGCGTGCACATGGCCAGAGCAAGGCATGGGCGACGGCAGTGGCCAAGTGTCCCTCTTGGAAGCAACGTGCAGCGCGTTTGGTTAAGCTACGGGCCCCACACCCTGTATAAAATATCTTCAACTCGAAGCAAACTCCAACTTTGCTTAAGGGACCACTGTCATTAACGCAACAGATTAGGAGATAAACATGCTCAAACTTTGGTTTGTCAGGCTGATTCCAGAGACTTGGAAATTTTTCTAAGTTCTTCTGAAATTGAATTCGATTCAAACTTTGGAGCCTTAACTAATCTATCAAACATGCAAACTAAGCACCAACAAGCACTCCACCACAAAGTTCATAACTTGTACTAAGTTTTTCACACGGACATATTTCAGAGTTTATTAATAAATTATTTTTTTATTCAGCCTTCAACAAGCTATCAAGCAATTAACACCAATTAGGTTTTTTGACATTTTTAAGCATTTTCTCCATATTTTTCCAACATAAATCCTAAACAACTTTTGTTCGCAAACTCATTTAGAGATGTTTAAGCACAAAAACAAAGTTGGTTGACATCACACATGTTGACTATATTCACAAAGGTGATTTAACCAAACATGTATCGTATCATTTCATGCAAGAATTTATCACCAAGCATAGAAAACTTATTTATTAGGTTTTATTAAGCCTTAAACTATTGTTAAACAGGTACGTAACACCGGGGGTGTTACAGTGGTGGTGGTGGTGGTGTTTTTTTTGGGGTGGGGTGGGGAACTGGTTTTCAAAACTGGTTCAATGTTACGCGCTCATCCTCTTCTTTCATAATAATTTTGTAGGGTACGCCGAGATATTTCTACTTCCTTGGTTCTACGCAGTCCTCATGTGGTGGTTGGCTCATTTGATCGTTCTAACCTTTTCTATGGTGTGAAAACATGCAACCGATCTATGTCCTTTATAAGTGAACTTGTGAAAGATGTTTCAAAGAAGAGTGCTGCGGGTGAGTCAACAATAATATATTGTACGACCATCCGGGACACAGAACAGGTTTGTGAACCATAGTTATATAATTTCAGACTTGCAATTGCTAATGCTTGAGAATGCAAACATCAGTTTTTTTTTTCTGTGCTCCTTAAAAGTACCTGTGCATTTTTCAGATCATTATATAGATGCACATCAAATTCGTGCAATGTGAATTTGTTAATACTTGCTTTTGATTGTTTGAGTAACAAGCTCTTCCATTGTTTTTCTGGTCAATGGGACTGTTATGTGGCTGCTAGGATTGAGAGGGAGAGAGAGCTGTGCGGCTGCTACAGTACCCGCGGGTACTGTTCACGCGAGGGAGAGAGAGAGGAACGGCTGGCTCTAGGGGAAGTCAGCAACTTAATTGTTGCTTCTTGCTTGATTATAACTGATACAGGGTTCTTTTTTTATAGAGATGACTGACTTGACCCCTAAGAAAATATCCTAACCGAATCAATCTAACATATCTCTTTCCTACCAAACTAATCTAATCCAATCTGTCCACGCGCTACAGAACCGCGTGCTACAGTACCTCGTGGGCCCTGGGCTGGCTCCACTTGCCATAACACTACTCCGCCCCTCGAGGACAGCTCGTCCTCGAGCTGTGGTGATTGCTGGAGCGGAAGACCTTGCGGTCCAGAGAAGATCGCCATGGCAGACCTGCTTCCTCCTTGAGGTGCCAAACTTGGCTGCTCCATCTGATCTGTCTGGAATCGAATCCGCCCGTGTCGAATCCATGGAGCGCCTGCACGTGGAGTCGATGGTGCCCTCCACGAGTAGCCACCCCCGCTATGGGTGCAAAGAAGCGGGCCGCAGTCTTTGAGGCGATACTCAAGCTACCGATGGAGCTTTGAAGGCTCAACGAGCGAGCCGGCGGAGAATAAGCGCGATGCAAACAGCCACGCCCCGCTTGAGGGATCGGTCAAATGCTCGTAGAGGCAGCGACAAAGGCACCATGTCCGCCAATGTCGGTTGCATGGATGATCGCTCGCATTGGTGACACTAGTGCCGGGGGGTTTTTGGCGGTCGATGATGATGAGGCTCGCCGGAGTTGTAGCAAATGGGGGTCTTCATTGGTGATGTGACCATGGCGGGGAAGAGGAACGCGCAACGACGTGGCCGACACCGTCGTTGTTGGTGATGGCGCCGAGGCGAGGGTGGCGTAGCGATGTGGAACCGCACCGGCACCACTACTACGGCCGATGGTGCCGGCTTGGCGACGCGTCGTTAAGGACGGCGGTGCAAAGAACCACATCATCGAATCGATCCGATCCGATTCGCGAAGCGGCGGACGGCCGCCGAGCCTCGCCGAAATCAAGCGGTAAGTGTGGGCAGCGACGGCGTGATGGTCAGCGGTCCCTGGAGGAGCGCCCGCAGCGTTTCCTGGACCTCCCGCATGCAGTGGCTGAGGTTCACGATTGCCGCCGTTGTTTGCTCCGGGGTGAGGACGAGGGCGGACGACGCCGGGGCAGAGGGCGCAATCGCCCTTAAGGACGCCAGCGTGCCCAATGCCGGCGCGGCTGCTGTGTGGGGCAGCAGCGCCGACAAAGACGCTGGTGGCGGTGGGTGGGTGTGCGGCGGCGGCGGCGGGTGGGAAGAACTCGGTAGAGGGCTGAACATAATCGAACCAGAGAGCTCTGATACCAGATTGTTATGTGGCTGCTAGGATTGAAAGGGGGAGAGAGCTGTGCGGCTGCTACAGTACCGCGGTGTACTGTTCACGCGAGGGAGAAAGAGAGGAACGACGGGCTCCCAAGGGAAGCCAGCAACTTAATTGTTGCTTCTTGCTTGATTATAACTGACAGGGGGTTTTTTTTATAGAGATGACTGACTTGACTCCTAAGAAAATATCCTAACCGAATCAATCTAACATATCTCTTTCCTACCAAACCAATCTAATCTAATCTGTCCACGCACTACACTACCGCGTGGGCCCTGGGCCGGCTCCACTTGCCATAACAGGGACACTTTTAGATTCCATTCGGGTATGTTCACTGTCTAAAAAATTTGGAAGTGGGATTTTAGAAGTTTTACCGCCTGTGACTCAAAATGGCAACGGGTATGTACCCAATGGGTACTGGCCACCCGTACCCGCACCCGCCAGATCAAAATCTTACCCGTCGGGTTACCCGTAACCGCAGGCGGGTAGAAAATTCATTCCATACCCGCACCCGACGGGTAATTCTTACCCGACGGGTAACCCGCACCCAACAATATACCCGAGTTCACACACCAAAATATAATAGCTTCCAGCAAAACAAATCAACAATAGAGCAGCAAAACAGAAATATATCCAGGTCAAGCTAGTTGAAATAGATCAGATGCCTCATTGGTTCATTCCAAATATGCTTATATGGGGATTAGGGTTTGAGGGAGTTTTGGAATATATATACTCATATGCTTATATGGGCCAAATATGGGCTAAAATTGCAAAGGTTGAATATTATTTATGCGGGTTTTTTTTACCCGCGGGTATGCGGGTATGGGTAGTATACACCTACACCAGCATTCAAGATATACCCGATGGGTACAAATTGGCCCAAAGAATTCGTCCAATAACGTACCCGCAGGTGCAAAATGTCTTCCATACCCGCTTCCTTATCGGGTAAAACCCGTCGGGTACTCGGGTTTCGGGTACCGGTCGCCATTTTGACCTGTGACCGGAAGGTCCCGGGTTCGAGTCGCGGTCTCCTCGCATTGCACAGGCGAGAGTAAGGCTTGCCACTAACACCTTCCCTCCCACGCAGCAGGGGAGCTCTCTCGACTGGTACGCCTTTTATTTTAGAAGTTTTACCTGTGGGTTTCTGGAATAATCTGATGAATTTGGGCTTCCTTATTGACTTTGTGTAACCTGCTTTTAATACATAATAGATTTCCACTGTTTCAACTTGTGTAGATAAAAAAAATCTTTTCCCCAGGTTCATGAGGCTTTAGTCACTTCTGGAATCAGGGCTGGAATTTATCACGGTCAAATGGGCAGCAGAGCTAGAGAGGAATCCCATAGGTTTTTCATCTATTCACTGTCTGCTCTATTTTGGGTGTCTGTTCGTTATGTTGTTTTTCTTCTACATACATTTTCCTTGAGCAATGTAAATCCTTGACTATATTGTTTTGAGTTTTGACCAATGCTCAAACGATATTCTGAACCATTTGTCAGTATCCTCTCTGAAAAATGATTTTGTTGAACTATTTTTATTGACCTGTTAGGCTGTTACTGTTAGATATGCTTGACCATGTCATTATGAGAAATGGAATATCATGTGGTTTATAAGTACCATGATTTGGTTTAATCTCAACATTCTCTATAAAATATTTACTAGATTGTCTTTGTTCTGTTAGATTCACATTGATCATGCAATCAATTAATTAGAATTAGAAAAGTAAAACATTTAGACAAATACATAGGTCAAGGGGGATAAGAATGGTCAGTTGTTTGATTTATGCATTCAGTTTTGTACAAATTATGGTGGCAGATTTATGATTGATCATTGGTTATGTTGCTCCTGCAGATCCTTCATTAGGGATGAAGTTCTTGTGATGGTGGCAACTATAGCTTTTGGAATGGGTATTGATAAGCCTGATGTTAGATGCGTAATACACTATGGATGTCCAAAGAGCCTAGAGTCCTACTACCAGGAAAGTGGGCGTTGTGGAAGAGATGGACTGCCTTCAGTCTGCTGGCTATATTACCAAAGAAGTGATTTTACAAAAGCTGATTTCTATTGTTCTGAGGCAAAAAATGTAGGTCATTTTTTTGCATGCTGGATGTTTTCTCACTCCATCCATGCAGCCTAGTGCTTCTGCTGTGTGCCTACTTGTTTTCTTAATGTTTTATTTCATTAAACAGGGAACCCAGAGAAAAGCAATCATGGATTCCTTCATGGCAGCACAAAAATATTGCCTCCTTGCTACATGCCGTAGAAGGTTCTTATTGCAGTATTTTGGTGAAGAATGCAACACTGACTGTGGTATGTTCCTTTTATTTTATAACATTTATTTCTTGTCTATTCTTATCCTATAGCTTAATTTACTAGGTTATGCGGTATCATGCAACCTTACCTCGACTGCTGGAATTGTCTTGTAGTGACATTGATTAATGGCACATATCTTGATCTGCAGGCAATTGTGATAATTGCACAGCAGTGAAAAACGAGAGGGATTTGTCAAAAGAAGCCTTTCTGTTGCTGTCCTGCATCAAATCTTGTGGAGGACGCTGGGGCCTCAATTTACCTATTGATGTTCTTCGTGGATCACGAGTAAATCTTTATCCTTTTTGTTTCAGTTTTCTACAATTGTGACATACATTAGCTGCCTGTAGTTCATTTGATATCATGTATGTGTTGATAGTTTTATCACTGGGAATGACCATATGTGACAGAATGCACTGTTACGTTTACTGAAGTCATGGCATACCGTAAGCTTTTGAAGTCTCCACAATATTTTTACTTTAGAAGATCAAAATGATTGAACCATAGTGACAACTCACAAAGTTCTTGGGTTGACGTGGTCGACGAACGGGGTATGCTACTTGCGAGAGGTTTTTACACTGTGGGGTCGAAAATGACCCGCACACCTGGGTCGGTGTCAATGTTTCTGGGTGGAGGGTTGATGCCTTAGACCCCCTCTTATGTGACTATGGATTGAACAGTAAATTTTTCTCAGAATTTAGTCTTGGTTACTAAATTGCTTTTTCTGGGTAGATGGGAAATACCAACTATTTTCTCATTTTGTAGGCCAAGAAGATTGTTGACAACAATTATGATAAACTACAAATGCATGGGCGTGGTAAAGATTATTCGTCAAACTGGTGGAAAGCACTTGGTGGTCTCCTTATAGCACACGGTACTAAATACTAATGTTGACCTCTCTATTTCATTCTACTATTCTTGAAAGTTGTGTGAAGCTACACATTTCTAAAATTGTTGATTCTGCCTGTGCACAGCCAATTCCGTTGCTGTCTTTTCCCTGACCAAAGAAGAAAGTATTACAAAAAGATTTGATTTTGTATGCAAGCAAATGGCATATTATGTATGCATTTTTTTTCTTTTGCCGTAGAAGATATTCACAGCAGATATGGCCATAATAAGTACACTGAATTATATTTTTAAGGCAATCCGTTCTCATGTACATTTTCACCTGTTGAGCGCAAACTTCGTTGATTATCGTTTTCAGGTCTTGAAACCTGTAAAGCTTAGAAAGTACACTCTGTTTTCAAGGCTAACATCGTTCGTTTTCATGGTTAACATCTTTCTACCAACCTAAACAGTAAGCACATTCATGAACATCTCAGATACTGACTTCACACCTTAAAATTTGTTTGAATGTAAACCTGGTTTATTCTTCAAAATGAAATACTGTTACTTGATATATGCCAACTTCTCCGTAGTTACACTGGTTAGACCTTTGAAGTCCAGGGCTTTGATGAAACCCTTGTTACTAGTCTAGGTTTGAAGGCTGGCACAAACTTTCTTAAGAACAAAATCAGGGGAGCATCTCTCCTCCTTCTCGAGTTTTTTTTGTTTATTTTTTACTTGATATGTGGCTACGCCAAGCTCTCTGCATTAGGTTTTAGGACAATGAAATGCTTTTGCCATCCTTAAATTGTGCTATAATTTATTTATTTTCTTCTTTTATCTATGCGCAGATTATTTGAAGGAGACTGTTCATGATACATTTAGATTTGTCAGGTGCTGTGTTGCGGTTTCCTTATGGATTTTGTAGTCATTGTACCTATTCCCTTTCTGCAGTCCTTTGCTAAGCTTAGTCTTGAAGTAAACTTTCCAGAAATGCTTAAGGACAACCACCCCTAACTCAGCGTCTATATATTCAGTGTCAGTCCAAAAGGGGTCAAGTTTCTCTCTACTGCTGATAAAATGGATGGAACACCACTGGTATTTCAGCTGACTGCAGAGATGATTGAACTAGAGGAGCATGGTAGTTCACATCATAAAGAAGGTGGTGGTTTAAATCCTGTGCTAACATTAGAATCTGAAAAAATTTCTGAGGTAGGTTCATCAAAATACTATTTATTAATCCCCACGCAGTCACCCACCTGGGAATTTCAGTTTTTTGTTCTTTTGTGCCTGATTTAAATTTCTTGCAGGATGAATCAAAACTCTATCAAATGCTCCTGAATGTTAGGATGAAGCTTGCTCAAGATATTGGCACTGCTCCGTGAGTAAAAATTTGAACTACCGTAACGAGTTTATGGATACAGGTTCTTTAGCTATTTTATGCTAGAATTTGGAAAAGTTAGTGAACTGAATTTCTTTAATCCCGCTTGTTACAGGTATGCTATATGTGGTGATCAGACGATAAGAAACTTTGCAAAGATGAGACCTTCTACTGGAGCTAGACTTGCTAATATCGATGGTGTCAACCAGGTATTACTTTGAAAAGGTTACTTAGCAAACTATCTTTTGTTAATCCGAGTAGTATGCATCTCTGCAGTTCATCCAATTTTAAAAAAAGACAATATTCTGACCATTCTTTTCTGTATTGTACTTATATATTGATACTTCTGACCTTTTGTTTGCAGCATTTTATCTCACGTTTCAGTAACATTTTCATCCAAAATATCGCGCAATTGTCGAAGGAGTTAAACCTCCCGTTGGATAATTCACCATTACCACCACCAACAACAAATCCAGCTGTAGAAAATATTGCTGGTATACCAAAACCTTTACAAAACAATCTTCCTGGGATCTTGGGTGATGCAAAGCTGACTGCTTGGGAATTGTGGCATAAGCAGGAGTACTCATTCCTGAAAATTGCTGTGAGTTACTACAGTTTTCGTTTTCCACTGACATGATACTCAAGTTCACAGATTGGTATGATTGTGTATTCTAGTATTTCCATGAGCAGTGCCAATAAAAGAGCAAACGGTTATTGCGTACATACTTGATGCTGCTCGAGAAGGATGTGAGATGGACTGGAGTAGGTTTTGCAGGGAGGTAGGGCTGACACCTGATATAGCCACCGCGATCCGTCTTGCAATCTCAAAGGTTGGATCACGTGAGAAGCTGAAGCCAATCAAAGAGGAGCTCCCAGAGAATGTAATTCTCCCTCAGCACATAATCATTCCATTTCTATTTGTGATTAAACATAGTATTAATATTGCTTCTGAAAAAAATAATAGCCACTCTCATCAGGCATTGGCGCACATTTTGTTGTATGTTCATCCAAAGCAGCATGAATATCTAATTTACTTGGGAAAAATGCTATATGACAATCACAGGTAACTTACGACATGATCAAGACATTCCTGACTATTGAGGGGCGTGGATTGTCAGAGCAAGTCTTTGGTAACGGTACTGCTGATGGGGTTCCTAGTAGAATAGCAGAGTCCCCAATATCTTCCTCCCATGCAAGTGAAGCTAGCAGAAATGATATGGGAGATGGTGTCCCAGCGGCAGAGGCCAGTGATGCAAACCCTTCAGCAAAGAGAGGCCAAACTGTTTCTGCTGAGGGGCCAGCAACAAAACTGCAAAGGATAGACGAGCATGGGGCAAAGTCAACTGGCACAGCGGCTGCCACTGAAGAATCTGTGCTAGCTCTGGTTGCGAGCTGCAATGGGGTAATGTACTAAAGCATTTTTTTTCCCAAGCTTGATTGGAAATCCATGTGCGGGGATCCTCTGATGTTGAGTGACTTGGTCACAGATATGTGGACCCGTGAGCGTGGAGGCCAACATTTCAGTGATTCACTCTGACTTAAACGTCAGGAACTGCTTCCGAAATCCTTGTCATTCCTGTGCTGACGAGTGGCATTGTTTCAGGTATCGCTGGAGGATGTTGCCAAGCACTTCAAGGGATCCAAGAGAGAATCGGTCTTGGAGATATTGGAGGGCCTTGAATCTCAATTCATAATTTACAAGAGAAACGGGAACTACATGATCCTGTGACAAACTGAGGGGTTGCTGCATCCTATTTCTAGCAGCTTGCCGGCCTAGTCTGGGAAGGGGACATGCCTCAGTTGTGTGTATATATATGTGCTGGTGGTGACTTTAGACTATGATAACAAAGTTGTTTCGGCTGGTGTGCATGTGCTCATTTTGGGGATTGGCCAGAACTAGGAGATGTACGAACGTGTGTTTGGTAGCACAATATCCCTTTGTCATCTGGTGTATGCGTATCTTGTCCATGGTTTATGTTTACTGATTCACTCCGCTCTTTTTCATTGGGTGCATGTGCTAATTCTGGGGATTGGCCTCCTTTTGGAACGAAGGATTGGTGGTGGATGTTATAGGATCCGACTCCTCTTGCAATTTTCCGATGTGGTTATTTGGAATAAAGTATCAAAGACTTTAGAATCACACAGAATTACTATGAAATGGTGTAATTCAAGAGAATTTCAGGGGAAATCTTGCGCGAGGGTTGAGTTTCTTAGAAACTAAAATTTGTCTGAATCTTCCCCACAAGTTCTTTGTTTTTCCTGTATACATCCAAATGCTCTATGGAGAGAAACTTTCCGCATTCTAAATTACTGCAAATATCAGCCACTCGAACCATACATTTTCTCTGCTCTTATATTTTACTGTATGATTTATGATTATATTTTACTGTATGAATTATGATTATTGCGATCCAGCGTTCCGAAGAGAGTCTAGTGAAATCACGAGATGCCTTGCAAGTGGCAAACAGAAGAAACCATAGCATATTCATGCCCTTGGAAAGCAGGTGAACCCATTGTCTTAAAAACAATTCGTGCCTCACGTGCCCGATGGGTACGCACAACACAGTGCTCCAGTGCTTTTGACGTACTCGGCGCGAGCCAGCACCCTTCCTGAAGCCAGACCAGACACCCACGGGCAACTGGCTGGCTTGGCTCACTTCACTCGGCGGCCGCACCCAACCGCAGTGCGCCGCGGCGATCAGAGCAAAGCAAACCCCAGGCCCCCAACCAACCCGCCCGCCCGCAACTGCCTCGAACGCGGCAACGGCAAGCGCCCTCCCTCCCGTAGTCACCGCCGCAGTGAGTGAGATGATCAGCGGAGGGGCCGCGGCCGCCGGGAACCCGAGGAGGAGGAGGACGCGATGAAGGCGCAGCCGCTGCTACCGGCGGTGCTCAAGAGGCGGAGGGCCCCGCGCGTGGCGGTGCTGGCGCTCGTCCTCTGCTCCCTGCTCGTGCCCTTGGCCTTCCTCTTCGACGGCGCCCCTTCCGGTAGGTACCCTACCCTATCCTCCCTCGCTCGCTCGCTTCCTCGCAATGCGCATTGGGTTGGGAGCGCGGGGGCCGCCGCGCTCGGATCACCGCCTCTCCGCCGGTGGATCTGGCGGTCCAGCTCCCCCCAGTGGTTGGTCGCCCGCCCGGTTACCGCGCGGCCGTGTTGATTAACCTCCGCCTTTCGCCTTTTCGGGATTGTTTTCGGTTTGGCGTACTTTACGATGGGTGTGCGCGATGCAGGGTACGTGACGACGGAGGAGCGGCGCCGACAGGTACCCTGCTGTTTCAAACCCTCTCTTTTGCCCGTAGTCGTTGTTGATGCTGATTGATTTGGACGTCACCATGTGCGAGCGGAGACGACGGCTCACTGATTTCCGCTATTTTTTTTACCCCCGTGTTTTCTTCACCGCGTTGGATTCAGGAGGTCGTTCTGCCTAAGTTCGATCACGAGGAGAAGAGGCGTCCTACTGGCGCTGACAGAGAGCGACAGGTCTGTTGGCTGTTACTCTGATTGGAAGCGATTGTTTTCTTTGTGATTTTTTGTTTTGTTTTGTTTGGAATGGAGGGACTTTATTGCAGGGCACCGAAATGATGACTATTAGTTATCACCTGTTTAAGACCGATCACGATGTTTGAAACTTTACTAACGCCTACATGTTCTGCAATTAGAGGCAATGCTTTGTGGTTGGTTCCTCGCCTGTTAGTGCTGTAGGGACAATTTATTTTCCACATGTTACAAAAGGTTCATTCACTGTTCTTTCTGCATCAAGTACAAGTGAATATATCGCTCAAATTTGCTTAAGATGTGTGAAGGATGCTTCTGCAGTCCGTGACAGTTGCATCTCTCAGGATGCGCCGGAGAGGAAGATCCCTAGAAGTAGTTCAGGAGTCATTCATCAACAAACACCGGAGAAGAACATCTCCAAAAGCAGTACAGGAGTCATTCATCACCAAACACCGGAGAAGAACATCTCCAAAGGTATGTCATAGCAGTTTCAAGGCCCAAAGTGCAAATGCCCTTGCTGCTAATGCTAGAACAGTGTTCAGGGTGTGTAAATTTTAAGCTATGCCAAGGTCATTGGGGTTGTACGACACCTCAATTGTACCACAGTGAAAATTATATGTGGACATCATTTCAGCTAGGGATGAAAATGACCAGAAAGGTCGGTAACGGTGTTTCCTATACGAAAACTATTCCCGGTCAGTCGGAAACTCACCGTATTTAAAATTTCACTATTTAGTGGTGACATCAATACGGTGCTGATTGCTGAAAGAAATTAGAAATCAAAAGTTCATTGAAACTAGAAACCAAAAGTTTAAATACGGCAATGGTCGGAAACTTTCAAAAACGATGTCACTTTTGCGGGAAACGATTCCTGGTAAACGGAACATTTTATTTCCCCTTTCATCCCTAATTTTAGCCTTGCGATAGATTTTTTCCTGATGTTCGTGGCTCTTCAATCTTTCACCTGTTGATGTTAAATTAAATTTCAGCTGTCAAGTTAGTTTTTCCATTTCCCTCCTCTTGGTTCCCTCTCTTTTCCAAGATTTACTTTAGAACCTACCATCAATTATTTTTATCCAACTATCGCTTGAGTCCAGACAAACAAGCTATCTTGCTTATGTTGACTATCATAAAGTTGTCTTTATCACTAATGTCTAATGGCACTTGGTCAAAGCTATTTAGTGGTAGTTGGCCCTTATCATTTTTTTTGTGGGCATCTTTTTTTCATGTCTGATGTTGTAGTTATTTTGCCTTTCCTTACATGTGACTCAATAATTGCTAACATATGCAGTTCTTCCAGCACCAAAAGTTGAACCATCAAAGGATGTGACGGATTCAACTAAAGTCGCAAGAGTATGGATCTTTAGCTTTCAAAGTTGTACTTTGTTGTTTCAGAACTGCTACTTCAGTACTTCATGTCATTTCACAATTTTCTTATTTTAAGACATCTTTCGTTGGGGTTGAAACTAGATTAGGGGTAGCACTAATTGAAGAAAAGCTTGTCCAACACCGGTTGAGATGGTTTGGACATGTCCAACGGAGACCTCCAGAGGCACCGGTGCGTAGTGGAATCCTAAGCCAGGATAGTAACGTGAAGAGAGGCAGAGGAAGACCGGAGTTGACTTGGGTAGAGGCAATAAAAAGATACTTGAAAGGATGGAATATACCCAAAGACTTAGCCTTAGATAGGAGTGCTTGGAAAACAGCTATTCACGTGCCTGAACCTTGATTGCTTCTGCTGGGTTTCAACTCTAGCCTACCCCAACTTGTTTGGGACTTAAAGGCTTTGTTGTTGTTGTTTCGTTGGGGTTGTGTTCTAAGGGTCCGTTCTTTCTCTTTAATATAAAGATACACAGCTCTCCTACATGTTCGAGAAAAAAAGACACCTTCCGTTACCAAACTTTTCATGTAACGCAAAAGAAATACACACACTAAAATGGTCATATATCAATTCTGTTCAGCTCAAACGCCTAAGATCATAGGCTACATGATGCAACTTTTTGAATAATTTCCCATCATCTTAACTAATCCACAACAACAACAACAACAAAGCCTTTAAGTCCCAAACAAGTTGGGGTAGGCTAGAGTTGAAACCCAGCAGAAGCAATCAAGGTTCAATCATCTTAACTAATCCAATAATGTAAAAGTTAACTTGTGTTGTGACAATCTTGAGTAGAATATAGTGCATCCCTATACATTTTTCTTCAAAGCGTAACCTCGTGTTTTCTATCAGTGTTCTTTCTAGTTCCACCTGATCTTTTGCAGCCTGAGTTGTGCTGATGTTCGCCAAAACGCAACCTGTCCTTTCAGGATGCTAGCCAAGAAGGTGAAAAGGCTGATGAAGTGGAAAAGGCAAAGTCTTGTCAACTTGAATTTGGGAGTTATTGTCTCTGGTCCATTGAGCACAAAGAAATAATGAAAGATCATATAGTGAAAAGGCTAAAAGATCAACTCTTCGTAGCACGCTCATACTATCCAAGCATTGCAAAACTTCAAGGACAGGAAGCTCTGACTCAGGAAATGAAGCAAAACATACAAGACCATGAAAGGATTCTTAGTGTATCAACAGTTGATGCTGATCTACCATCCCTGTAAGAATTAAATTTTACTTCTTAAGATCATAGTTCCGTGTGATGATTAGTGTTAAAGCTGATTGTGCGATGACTATGTTACTATAAGAACAAATTTTATTACATTGAATTCGGGTGTCCTATAAGTTAAGATGATCTATTTTTTTTCTGAATGCCCGTTAGGGAATATATTTATGTCTTAAAGAGACAAGGAGATTTAATTCAATCTAGGGGCGTTATTTCCAATCATCAGTAGGGCTTAATACTTAGATAATTTGAATGACAAGCTGTTTTGTGATTTCAGTATCAACAGAAGGATGAAGCAGATGGAGCGAACATTAGTGAGAGCCAAATCTTGCACAGTAGATTGTAAGAATGTTGACAGGAAGCTTCGCCAGATACTTGATATGACTGAGGATGAAGCTCATTTTCATATGAAGCAGAGTGCATTCCTCTACAATCTCGGTGCCCAGACATTGCCGAAAAGTCATCATTGCCTATCTATGAGGTTGACACTAGAATATTTCAAATCATCTTCATTGGATTCTGATGATTCTCCTGGCAAGTTCAGTAGTCCAGAATACAGGCACTATGTTATACTATCTAGGAACGTTATTGCGGCTTCTGTAGTGATCAACTCAACTGTGACCAGTTGTAAGGTAT